ATTTTAAGAGATGTCAATTTACTCCATAGTACTTCTCTGTTTACCATATCAAATGCTGCTGTAAGGTCTATGAAAGCAGCAAACAGGGGTCTCCTCTTATAGGCATATTTTTGGCAATTAGATGGTTCAAGACAAAGCAGTTATCAATAGTAGATTGGCTTTGTCTAAAACCTGCTTGTTCTTCTGTGAGGATATTGTTTTCCTCTACCCAGATTTCAATTCTGTTCAAAAGGTACCTAGCATATATTTTTGCTGCAATATCAATCAGGCTAATGGGCCTATAATTACTAGGGTCCTTATTATTCCCTTGTTTATATATGGGGACAACTATTGCCATCTTCCACCCATCTGGTATATGGCAGGTGTTATTTATGTGTATAAAAAGACCTGCCAATACAGGGCCTCACCAATTGGGAAATTTCTTGAATAATTCTGCTGGTAAAAAATCCTCACCTGGGGCTTTATTGCTCTTTAAACTTTTGATGATGGATTGTATCTCTTTTTCTGAGACTGTTGGCCAAGAGGGGGAAGTTCTAGAGTTTACTAAATCATTGCTTAGAGACAATTTCTCTACCGGTTCCGTGGAAGCAAACAAACACTGATAATAATTCTCCCAGTCCTCGGCAGAGATTGGTATGTCAAACGCAAATCTCCACTCCTTCAGGATACCTGCTACAGAATGCCAAAATATTACTGAGTTATGACTTCTGGCAGCCAACTTGAGTTCTGACCAGATTGAAATGGCAAAGCTTTTTTTCTTTAATGTTATAGTTTTTTTATATTCCCTTCTTGTGTGCAACATCTTAGCTTGTACATGGGCAGTAGGATTCCTCTGGGCAAGCCTCATAGCTGCCTTCAATTTTTTTTCAGTTGCTGGCATTCAGGATCAAACCAGCAGGGTCTACCTACTCGGGCTCTTTTTGTAGGAGGTTTGGTTGTTAGATGTTTCTTCAGAATGTTACAGAGATTGGAGAACGCATTGAAGGCTAACATCCAGTCAGTAGTAGATGACTGGATTGTTCTAGCCCACTTAGTAGCATTCTCTGTTTTAAGGCATTCTAGTATTGCCTTAGTATCAACTTTGGCCCAAATTAACCTTTTATTTTGGGTCACCTCTACCTTTTTGGTGAGCTATCTATCAGCCATATTATATGGTCTTAAATCTGAGGGACCTCGCAGTGTCACGCTTACAGGCTGATGGTCGCTATTGTTGCTAAGGTGTACTGTGACCTCCAAAAAGAGGTCAACTTTATCTCTAGACACACAAAAGAGATCCAGTACACTGCTTGAATTGGCAGAGTGGTATGTATAGGGATATGTGTAATTCTTATCCTTACCTCCCAGAATTTGGAGATTACCCTTAAAAATTAAGGAGACTAGGAGCAGGCCAGCAACATTACTTTTGCAGTCTCTCGAGAGCCACTGGGGATGGTTATCAAAAAATTCCTCTGGGACTCCCTTCTTCTGGGCGAGCTCATACAAAGAGGGACCCAGCCGAGCATTCAGATCTCCTAGTAATACCACTATGGACTGAGGGTACAATACAGATATATCTTCTAGAATAACTTCCAAGCCCATCCAACATTCAGAGTTATAATACCGGGATGTGATTGGTGGGATATACACATTTACCAGTATTAACTCAAACTTTTCATATTCAAATTTAACAGCTAGAAAGTATGTGTCGAGCCCTGCGAGGCCGACCCAGCCACACACACGACCGCCGCCAACCACCCCGCCCGCCTTACCCCGTTTACAACATCCTGGGGGGCCGCAGGACGACCGGACCTGGCTAGGAAGGGAGCCAGCCGCCTTACCCCGTTTGCAGCGTCCTGGGGGGCCGCAGGATGACCGGACCTGGCTAGGAAGGGAGCCAGCTGCCGCATCGTCCGTCTGTCTCTGGGCTCCACCGTGGCCGCCGATGATGTCGCTCCCCTCTGACATCATCACCCTGCGCCTCGCAGGGCCGACATCCAGGCAGGCTGAGGAGAGTAGGCCAGGAGAGGCCTCCGTTCCGGCGAGCAAGAACGGAGGAAGAGACAGCTGTGATTGCCCCAGCTGTGACACGGCAGGGCGAGGACTGGGTGGGGCCGGGTGCGGTAGGCCAGATGGTGGCTTGAGGGGCGGGGTGGCGCTCATGAGGGTGGGGCTGGCAGGTTAACGAGGGCGGGGCTGGAGGGCTTGCTATGTAAAGCACTGGGAGACGGTGCCTCCCAGTGCTGACTTTGTATTGAATGGAGTGAATAAACTGCCATTCGTTTAGCGTTCCTGCTTGCTGGCTGGTTTGTGAAGCACCAAGACAGGACGGCTTGACAGTATGAATACTTATCTTCATTATATAGTTTCTCCTCCTGCCATTGCAACTCTTGCTTTATAAGAATGCATAGCCCACCAGAGGATCTCCCTTTGTTTTTTGGGATGGGGAGGCCCATCCCTGAAAACCTGGCAGTTGTACTGGTTCATCCACTTCGGTTAACCAGGTTTCTTGAAGGGCTATTACATCAAATCTAGGGAGAAAGCTCATTAGTCCACTATTGCCCATCCCTTTCCAGTCGGCTACATTCCAGGTCATCATCTGTATGGGCTTCTCGGAGGCAAGGTGGTCTGGCTTGGTTGATTGGCTAGATGGTAAAAATGCCAGATGTTAACTTGAGCCGAGTCAATATCATCTATGCATCCCATATAAACACAGTTGTTGTGAGGTTCGGTATTTCTTCTCGTGGGTTGCAGAACTTGTTGTTGCTCCTCTATATCTCGATTGCCAGTGTGCCTCTGCCCTTGCTCCAGGAATTTTTTTTTTTTCAGAAGAGCAGGTACTCCGGCTTAAATCTATAAATGTAGATTTATGTCCATTTTTGGAGGGGCGTAGCTGAGAATTCATCTTGTAGGGAGATGTTGTGGAAACTTCTAAGTCAAATGAGGATGGAAGCTGGATTATATCCTTAGTGTTTGTTGGCTTAGGAGGCACTGTGTGGTGAAGCCCTTTGTCTTTCAGTTGTTTCTCAGAGACAGGGTCAATCAGTGCAGTTGCCCCACTGTCTGCCTCTGTGACGCTACCTTTTTTTAACTATTGAGGTAAAGGCAGATTGTTGATTAAATGTATTATCGCAAGGTTGCGCAATTAGTGGAGTCAAATCAAATAGAGGCTTTGCTGTAAATTGAGTTGTTGTCAGTGCCTCTTTTAGGTCATCCAATCTTTGAATGATATTAACTTGCTCAGGTTCGGCAGTGCACTGAATAGATCAATCAACATTTCTTCTGGCACCTCTTCAACAGTTCCTGCAGCTGTGGGTAACACCATTTGTATATCGCTCCTTTGTCTTTTCAGGGTCAATTCAATTGCAGCAGCCTCAAGCTTAGCAGTGTAAGGGCTGTTGCAGCCTGGATGTAAAGCAACAGTTCCCTCTTGGTGACGCAACAGTTCCCTCTTGGTTTCAGGAGTGAGCACACTTTGTCTGAGCGAAAAACCCTTATTGGGAATATTGAAAAGGTACTCAGAAAGGGCTTCATTTTAAAGAGCATGGAGGGAATTGTGGGCTGCTTAAACGATAGGAGAATTCTCATATATTGTCTTCTTGCTGGCAGCCACTCTGCATGTAGAAGATCTATCAGAGTGAGTTCACAGCGAAGCAGCTGGCTCAGGGACAGCTTAACAGCTTCTCTATTACCCCAACACCTCTATTCACTCTCTTGTCATAAATTTGTAAGGTAACCCGGTTAGTCTGCAGACTGTAGTTATATTGGTCATCTCTTAGGCCTTTATCTGATTGGATGTTTTCTCTATGAGTGTTCAGATTTTTGGAAGGAAGACAAGGCCCCTCTCTAGTTTCACTTTCTGAATTAGCCATCCCAAGTCTATCCATGGTTGTCCTCCCACGTCCTTCTGCAGTATTTGGCTGGCTCCTAACAAACTTTGCAAAATATTCCTTCAAGCAGTCAACCTTATTTATGACAGTTGATAAGAGTTCATATATTGAGTTAACAGTTTGAGCCGTAAGCAAACATTGTCTAGAGAGGAAATCTGTCACATTTCCCCCCTTTAAATTTATTACATCTCCCTCCTGTGCAAAGAGGGCCGCTGCTGAGTTCCAAGAAGGGGAGCAACTCTCCGAGGAGGAGGACAATTCTACATGCTGTTTGCTTTCCAGTTCGGTTTGTAAGTCCAATGAGTCACATAAATTAAATTTATCTGATAAGGCGACTGCTGATGAATTACTTACTGGCATAGACTGTCTGTTTGCAGTGTAGTCTTCCATTTTCTGCTGCTTCAGTGGCTTGGATGAACTCTCTGCTGCAGAGTGCTGTTTCTTTCTCCTTTTCCCCATTCTTAGTAATCCTGGCTTGTAGAATTGTTAAAATGTAGGTAGAAAAATGGTGGCCTCTCCAGTAGTTAAAAAGAGTTAAAAGTAGGTTAAAATAGGTTAAAAGTGGGTAGATTAAAAATGCAATGTTAAAAAGGGTTAAAAAGTTAAAATAAAAATAAAATAAAATAAAATAAGGCTTTGGCTTTTGCTTTTGGAGGAGCTCCTTACAGCCTTTGCTGCCTGTCCACCATCTTATTTATGAAGTACATAAAACAAGCAGCAGGTTTTTGGTTATTTGTTCCATCTAGATTCCATTTATATATCAGTAGAGTCCACATGAAGCCCTGATGAGATTCAGTGGCAACATTATGAAAAATTCAGAAACTCCAAAAGGGACAAACGCTTATTGAAAGAGCTAGCTATATTTTAAAGGCAAACGCAAAACCTCATCTACAGACTTAGGCAGAAGAAAGAGTAAAAAGAGTTACGCACGAGCGTTGTCATATGTGCTTCCTCTTCGGCTGAAACATCTATAAACTGCTGTAATTTCATTTGTGGTTTTATATTGCATTTAACCAGCAGTCTGAGGCTGAGAGAGAAAGTTATTGCTTTCTCTGCTAAAGTGCTTTGCTTCATATCTGTCTTATTATTGGTGTTGTGTTTAATGTGCATGCAATGTTGTCTCTTCTGATACAGCTACAGCTCCTCTCTTCGAAACGGAGTGTGCGTATGCAGAGGCTACGCTTGATGATTTTCTGGCCTGGAGTGGAAGACAGCAACCTTGTCCTTCTGGACCATTCAGTAGTTATGATTTGTGTAAATGCTGGATGTATGCTGACTATAAGTACATTGCTAGGCTATTTGAAGACAAGCCAGAACATTTTCAGGTACATTTACCTTCCTTTGTCCTTTATTTATCTCATCAAAATGATGGGGTGATTCAGGAAATCCTGATTATTATAGAATTTTTTTCTGGTGTACTGAAAAATTAGTGTGCTGTGGAAGGTTTTTTAAAAATATTTATTTTTAAATTTTATTTTTAAACATTTAATTTATTTAAATTAATATTTAATTTGATTGCTAGTTTTCTTCCCAAAGATCCAAGCAGTACAGTACATAGGAGCTTTACCAGTTCTATTAGCATAGCATCACAGAGCTAACAAAATTCATATAGGCCACAGTCCAGTTTTCTGCTTGAATATAAAATCTGAAGACAAAGCTTCCCCAGTAAATGGCTATCTACTGTGGCTTGGACGTCTTCATCTGGGAAAGGCCCCATCTTTCTGAACAATGTATTTTATTGTCAAACTATTCTTACCATCAAGAATTCCTTCTGGTATCCAAATTTCTGAAATTTCAGATGGTATCCTTCTGTAACTCAATCTCATTAGAGATAGATAGATAGATAGATAGATAGATAGATAGATAGATAGATAGATAGATAGATAGATAGATAGATAGATAGATAGATAGATAGATAGATAGATAGATAGATAGATAACCTTAATTATCATTTTTTACTGTGGGCACAATGGCACACATTAAAAATGAAATTTAGTTGCTTGCTCTCAAAGTGTACACGTACATAACACACATTTAAACATACTATATACAACATATGTATAGACCTACACCCTTACATATAGGTAACATATAAATATTAATCACTGTCCATCTTGAATACATAATGGAAGGAGGAAGCTTTAGAGTTCACAAGGTTAATATTGTATGGAAGAAAACTGTGACTGAATCTGGATGTTCTGCTTCGGATACCACAGATTCTCCTCCCAGAAGGTAACAAGGAAAACAGGTTGTGAAGAGGATATGTAGTGTCATTTTCTGCAGAAAGCCCTTCAAGGATGCATGAAGAGGACTATCACATCCAATCAGTGTTCTCATGCTAGAAAGACTCACTTCCTTTATATATTCCTACTAGAAGTTGTCTTCCTTAATCAGTAATAACCATTCCTTTCTTTTGAGTTCAGCTCAATTAGCTATAGTGGGTCTCTTCCAGAATTGAATGCAGTGTCAAAACAGCCCTGTGAAGATTATTAGGCACAAAGGCAATAATTAAATCAAAGTCACTCAGTGAATGTCCTTTATCAGATTTTGATCAGCTCTTCCATACTGACTATGAATTAATCACTATGTATTTAAATCTCACCAACATATGCTAGTTACCCTTATAGTATAAGTGTGTTTTCATACTTGATTCTTCCTCTCCCAAGCTGTAGGATAACAACACTGGCTTATCTTATTGGGCTGTTAGAAATAATTCTGATACATTCAATGCAAAGCAGTTTAGCTATTCAATTAAACATTATATGAATAAATAAAACTATATACAGTATGTTGAACAATATATGTTCAATGAAAATACTGTGTGATTAAAAACACAATACATAACCTTCACATTCTTTTTGGGCCATAGTCTGTAGAATGTGGGGAGCTGTAACGGGATCTGTAATCCAAGAGCAGTTGTTGGATTATATGTTGCCTGTCCCTGAGGTAAATGGTAAGAATCATTATAGCTTTATAGAGAGGTGAGAGAGAAGGGCTTTCAATAAATACATTTAAAGAACTGGAATATCGGACTTTGCTCAACAGATACTCAACCAGAGGAAGAGAAAGAGATCTCATTATCTGTTACTAGTGAAGGAATTTATGCATGCCAATGATACATACCATCAGGAGTGTACATTCCCCCAAAGCCACCCAAGATGAGTAGTCACTCATAGAAGAGGGGACAGTATAAATATAATTTATTAGAGAATGGTAATACACTTCAGTATTTTGCCAAGGAAATCAGATGGACAATAACCAACAGTTGAGCTTCCAACGCTACTCTTTTAAAAATAAATAAGTAACAGAGTTAATAGACTCTACCGGTGGTAGGCAACCTTGGCTCTTTTATGACTTGTGGTTTTCAACTCCCAGAATTCCTGAGGCAGCATGGCTGGCTCAGGAATTCTGGGAGTTGAAGTCCACGAGTCATAAAAGAGCCAAGGTTGCCTACCCCTGGACTATACCAACCCAATGCAAATATGCAGAAAAGAAGTTGAGGTAGTAACAGACATTATCTTCTAAGCTCAAAAATGCACAGGAATGTTGATTACAGTCATGAAATAAAGAGAACATCTGCTGCTTGGGAGAAGACTTTGACAGATCTAGATAAAATAATAAAAGATGAGAAGGAATGAGTCACTGGAGAGAGACTCTCTGATGCTTTGGAAATTCAAAGGCCACCAAAAAGAAGGCAATGGGAGATAAAGAAACTAGATAACTAATGATACAAATATGAGTTCTCAAACATTCAGAAAAGCAACTATTGATAGTTAGCATTGGCAAGATAATGCCATGAAGAGTCAAAGCAACTGAATGACTGAACAAAGACAACAACCAAGAGAGCAACAGACAGAATAGCAATAAGAGTGAGACATCTCCTGTTCCTTTTTCTTGCATGTAGCAAAGAGGTGCTTTAACAATGCCTGTACGTTGTAATTTGTTTTGGTCACAACATGAAGAGGCTTTAATAAAAAGTCTGCTTAAGATACTGAGCATTATTAATGTTTTACTAGCTGAGAAATTTGCTTCCATTGGTAACTTGTCTTTTCTAAATTTTCATAGTGATCTGCTGCTTTGCATCTGGTTTTTTATTTATGTATTTTTCTAAGGTGACTTGAAGGGTACAAGAAGGCCAATTTAACTTTTTGTTCATCATGATTAATTGAGCCATTTAGAAGTTGTTTGAAACTTAGATTGCACTGTTTATCATTTACAGTTATGTGGCTTAAGGTAATGATTCTATTATTTTAACGGGCAAACAATATCTCATGTCATCCAGAATTTTTGTTGTTGTTTTTGTTGTTAACTTGATATCACATTACAAACTTCTGACCGATAAATCAAAAGCAAGATAAATTTGTAGAGCTTAAATAGAAATGAGAGCTCTTAAAGTGACATATGGGTATATTAGCTCTGTTGCAAGTAGTAAGCAAAATAAATGTAATTTAGAAGCAATGTGCCATCTGTTATGGTTGAGATGCTTACAAACTCCATTTGTTTCAGCTGTGGATCTTTTTTCTTTAAGAAAAGAGAATGCAACCCATTGGGCCAGAATTTCAGTACTTACCAATTCGTTTTCAATTCACAGGATAAAAACTATTTTGCCCATAATCTGTCAGATATTTATTGAAGCTGTATACTTTTTTTAAAAGGGGGGCTCTTTTTTAATCTAATATTGATTATGTTCTCTCTCTTTGTCCTCAAGTTTCAACAGAATGCGGAAACCAGTTAGGTGTGAGATTAAAGTGTGGGGATGGTTATTACCGTTAACTTTATCACTGAAATACTTGTATTGGATTTAAAATTTTATGGCTATGGAAAGCTGGAAGAGCAATTTTTCCTTCGAGGTTTCTTGAAGCTTCTGACAAATGTTTGCATTAGTCTTTTGTATTTCTTGTAGATCAAATAATACCCTGCTGTTACCTCATTAGTGGACAGCTTAGTATTTACCTGCGTGATTCTCTAGTGTGGAGTCTCAGAAAAATAGATATAATCTTACAAGGAGTTAAAACTGCTTTATAGAAAATCGGGATATATTAAATGTTGCAAAGGTTTATCCCTGAAGCTGGAGGAAGAAAGCTAAGAGAAAGAATTTAGGCAAAATAGTGGGGTTTTATATGTCATATGCCATGCCTATATGGATGTAGTGCTTCATGCTGGAGAAGCACTTGTGCCAATACCATAAAATTTATATAGCAGTGAATGTGAAGCAGTATTAAAAGGTCAAGTTGTGGAAGGAAAAAGTATTTATGGATTCTGGGCCATTCTCTGAAGAAACAGGTCTCGTTTTCAGAAGCCATTTTGTTTTCTAGACAGAAAACCAAATGCCACAAGTATTATCATTTCATGAAAGAACAATCTTTACTTCTCTCTTCCACTTTCAATGTATTCTTTTTTTGGAAGAGAAGTAATTGTCTTGAACAAATCAAAATGATGTAGAAACTGCAAAAAGCAAAATATACCAAAGACTCAGTATTATCTAATGTTATATTTGCTGCATACTTGCTTGTGTGGTATACAGTTGTGGTGTATTGAAAGAGCCAATGTGGTATAGTTGTTAAGATGCAGAACTATGAGTTGGGACATCCAGGTTCAAATTCACTGTGGCCATGAACTTTATTGAGCACCTTTGGATCAATTGCTTCCTGTCAGGACAACCTACATCACAGAGTTGTTATTGTATGGAAAATTACAGGAAGGAGTGCCATGTATAGGAAACTATATGCACATTTCTTTCTCCATTGGCAGCATCAAATAGAAATATTCTGACCCAAGAATATAAATGTATATCATTGGGTCCTGCACAAAAGAACGTATCATGCTTCTCATTTCAATTATACACTCACTCTATCTCTCAAACACAGGTGCTATGAAAATTAGCAATTTACTCAAGGTTGAGGAAAAAATAGCAGACAAGGGATTCATAACAAAACAGGGCCTCTGAAAGAAGCTTACCTGGGTGATTTTCCTTTTAACAGGAATGCACAGAAGAATAGTCAAATCCAGTCCAGAATTTTGAGAGTCTGGTCATAATTGTCAGTCAGTCCAGAGGTCAGAATTTCATGAGCAAAATCCACCCAATCTCAAGAGCCAGAAAGTTGAGTCCAATGAGGGATCATAGGTCAGGGCTGCTTCTTAAATCAGGCTGTAGCCAACTGCCTTTAATCAAGGTAATTACTCCTTTGTTTGGCAAGGAGTCTCATAGAACATCTTTGCTCTACTCTTTGCTGTCACTGGGTGTGGGGGTTGGGAGGCATTACATCATCATCATCAACAACAACAACATCATCTGACTGTTCCAGCTATTCAGGTAATGCCTATATTGTATGAGCTTCGGTTGATTCATGGCTTAGTATCTCCTGAAGCTGACATTCTGCAAGTTCTGCTGACCTTACCATGACTGTCCCAGCACTTATACATTCCTCTCTACTAATGGGATTCTAACTGACCTGATTACAGATATAAACATTATGTACCCTCAATAATGCCATTTATTGCACCCATACATTGCCTCCCTTCACACCAAAGGAAAAGCAACAGCCTGGTTTTGTGTTATCTGTCTCCTTTCTCTCTCCAGGGTCATCAGGTGGCTTGGTTCACCTTCTTTGCATTTCTGTGTCTTTCCTCATGTTTATGCCATGTACCAAGCCATCATACTTGACAATATTCCAAAAAGAAATCAAGAGAAAAGTTACCAAGATGCTGTTGATTTCTATACAGCTAATAATTAATCACAACTAGAGAGCTAACCAAGAATACTGTAGATGGCATTAATGATGTCCTCATGGTTGAAGAAATTGGTGTTGATACCCTTAGTGAATTGGGATGATCTTTTGCTTATTGGTTTCCTTTCATTTTTCATAGTTAATTTCAGGAGGATTCTGGGCATATGACACTATTAATTCTACAGCATTGTAGAATAATACTTCTTAGATTTGCTGTACATTTAGCAATTGATGTATACTGATATGTTACAGAGTGAAAGAAGAGATAATTTGAAAAAAGCATTGGTAAAACTTATCTTTCAAGGTTATCCAAGTAAGATAATTACAGTGGACTACAAGCACCCAGGTTGATTTTCCTTCCACTTGCTATGTACTTTTTGGGGTGGGTGGTGTTCTTAGTCCATCTTCTAAGAACGTTTCTGAATGAATCATGGCCATAGGTATCCTCAGCCACCCACAATCACCAATACCTAAGGAAGGAGAGATAAAAACTAGAAAATGGCATATGTGACATCATGATGCAAACCCCACTCCTTTTATATGGATGTTGACATCAGATATATGAAAAGGGATGAGACTTACATTGTGCCACCACATCTATCATCCTTGCACATTTTGACATCTCCCTACACTCAAGTGCCCAAGAACAACGACATCAGAACAGTAAAACATACATTGTAATGTTAAAACACAAATACCACAAATGATGTTAATTATATCCATTTTCTGGATTGCCTTAGGAAATGCATTGGGTGATGTCCAAGCAAAAATGTGTCCGTTGTAGCTGAAGTCTGCTAAATGCAATTTTGTAAAATCAGGATTTTATTGTATTACCTTTGCAACAGGACATTAGATGGTCTGATTTTGGATTTCCTGGAAGAAATGGAAAGGAAAGCACTCTGTGGATTGGTTCTACTGGAGCAAACACACCCTGTCATTTGGATTCCTACGGCTGCAACTTGGTGTTGCAGGTGCAAGGCAGGTAAGAAGGAATAAACAATTGCCCTATTTACCACCCTGATAGAGGGATTCCTGAATGTTTTTATTTTAAAACTGCTCTAATTTTCAGAGCTTTTTCATGGTGCAAACTGCCTAGGTTCATTATTAAGAAAGATAAACATTTTAAATGAGAAAATTGATATCAGTGTTAATTAGCATTTAGGCTTATATTGCACCCCATAGCACTTTACAGCACTCTCTGGGCAGTTTACAATGTAGAAGCATTATTTGCATATAGCCCCCAAACAATCTGAGTCCTCATTTTACAATCTAACAAACTTTCTTTTTTCATTGTGATCATTCCTTTTCCTTGACTTCCCTTTTTCTCAGGGGTTAGACAACCTCAGGCTCAGAAGCCCATCCAAATATTTCTGCTGACTTGTCATTTATAAACCGAGAAAGAGAAATGTATTAAACACATGGGTAGGAATCCTATTTCAAGCATTTATTTTAAATTACATTCAGTCTTTACCCCAATCATGCCACTTTTTTTTGGGGGGGGGACTGTTGCCCCCAGCAGAATTGTGAAGATTTGATGTGGATATTGGCAATGTGTAACGCTGGTTAATCCAGATAATTTCTAGTTCACCAACAGGAACATGGAAGCTTGTAACCTTTTATTATTTTATTTTTAGGGCAGACATTCTAATTTTACATTATTCAGATTTCCCTTCTTCTGAGCATTTTCCACTTTGATTTTTTTTAAAAGGGATGACCAGAAATGTAATGCAGCATTCCATAGTAATAGTAGAAATTACATTTCAAATAGTTTGGAAATTGCCTTTTTCTTTATTGATGTGCACAGACTTTCAACTGAAATTTCTACTCATAACTTAAGATTTCTTTCTCAGTTCATTGCCAATTGAGACTCTGCCAGTGACCTGTGAAGTTGAGATTACTTTCAAAGTGTACAACTTTGCTTTTAATGCATTGGTGTTGTTTGCCGTTTAACTGCCCATTCCCCAAAACCTTTTGGCTTTAATAAATATTTGGGAACATCCCTCCCTTGCGTCTTCTCATATAAATTTGCTCTCTGTGTTATGATTTATAAAACTCTTACGTACATATTTGGCTTTTGCTCGTAAGTTAAAAACGCAGCATTATGGAATATATACCCACAAACCATTTATAAAGCATGTGTTTTGTCACATTAAAATGTGGGAAGAAGGCTTGTAGGTTTGAATGCAGTGAATCCACAATGAGGAGGAAAGGATTTATTGAGCAAAGTAAATCAAAAAAGTAGCTTCAGTTGCAAAGTATAATATAGAGAGGAAATATTTACAAACAAAGCAATGTTGAATAGAGGACTATAAATATAGGACAGATTCTCACAGCCCTTTTACTTCCAGAAGTGCTTCATCCTTGTCAGAAGACATTCCATAACTAACACATAGCAACATTCAGAGGCTCAGGTCCCTGCTTAAGCTAACCCATGGGAAGGTTACTCAGCTTATATAGCATGCCCCTGCACTTGTTCATACTTCTAATTTAGGACATGTATTGTTTCTGCTTCTTGAGCAGTAGTTATTGAACTCTTGCGTGAAACAGTGCTAGGTTATCTGCAAATAATTGGCCTTGGAGTTAAAAGAAAGTGAACAGTTTTAAGCTAAGCTATGTAATGGAACAGTTAATCATGGGGAGCAACTGGAGGGATACAAAGGCTTGTTTTGAGAAATCTAGGCTATTCTATGCAGAGGTATACCAAAACAAGATCTTTTTGTACTGGAAAGCACAGAGAAGGACTACATCACTCAAACTTCCTTGTCCATATAATCCTTTTCTGCTATAGCACTTCAGCTTGAAAATAGGATTGTAACCAGTACCTCAAGGTCTCCAAAAACACTTGGATGTTTTACTTGAGTAGGTTTACCTCGGTTGAAACCTCACTAGATGTAAAGGAACTTGTTTTCAGCTAAGCATGGATAGGGATGTAGGAAGTTGATCATTACAAGGTTAGATCTTGGTGTAGCATGCTATGTGAACACATCTATTGTGATTTTTGTCGTAAAGCATGGATATTGTAATGGAATGTGTGGATAACCTTGGGGAAAGAGAAGAAGTGCTGCCTAGGAAACAATCAGACAAAAGAGGGAGGAGCCCCCAAGAGCTTAATGGTCAGAGGAAAAAAATTAGGAAGGATCTGACCTAATAGATCAAGCAGTTAAAAGTGAGGGTGGGAAGTTCATACTTTCAGACTTGCAAGATTCTGTTAATTTAGCCTTACAATAAAGTACAATGAGCTCATCTAATTGTTTTTCCTGTCTGGTTTGCCTGGGAGGGCTAACAGATATGCAATCTATGGCTTATCATGATGTGTGAACTTAGGCAGAATCTTGTCTATTTGCACTTGTACCATATATAACTTCAAGATGTAAGTTTCCATTATCTTTTTCCAGGAAAAGGTGGCATCTGTACCCACCAGAAGACTCCAGGCTACTTTATCCTACCAGAATTCCCTATGAAGAATCCAGTGTATTCAGCAAAGTCAGTGTGCTTAATCCAAATCTGAGGCAACATCCACTGTTCAAAAAAGCCCGAGCCCATGTGGTTACACTTGATCCTGGCCAGGTATTTTCTCTGCTTTTGCTGCTGTTTCACTAAATATGAAATTGAACAAATGAACTGAATGTGAATGGGTTTGAGCCCCAACATCTAATTTAATTTATTTGTTACATTGTTATACATTGAGACTCAGTTTGGTATAGTGCAGGGGTAGGCAACCTTGGCTCTTTTATGATTTGTGGAATTCAACTCCCAGAATTCCTGAGCCAACATGGCTAGCTCAGGAATTCTGGAAGTTGAAGTCCACGAGTCATAAAAGAGCCAAGGTTGCCTACCCCTGGTATAGTGTTTAGAATAGAATAGAGCTGGGACTTCCGGTTTTGCACGGTAGTGACCGGTCACGGGCTTGCGGATTCTCCACACCCCCGTGGCTAATTTCACCCTGCCAGGGGACCCTAAATGGGTCTAAGTCACCCTGGAGAGGCGATGAAGAAAGAAGGGTGCTACGACGATTCTGGAACGGCGGTGGCCATTCCGTTCGACTTGGGGAAAGCCTTCTAACCTGACAGGAGAAAGGCTGGCCATATTGCATTGACCAGCCCAAACTACTTGCAACCAAAGTCCAAAAACACTAATCAGCACAACTGTGAACAGCGTGCTTGAAACTGGGTGAGGAATTTGAGCTTCTCTTTTCTCTTTTATATTTAATTTCCTGGAAAAGATCCCCAAGAAGCAAAATACCTCCGAAAGGGAAGGAGGGGATTTCCACCCCATCCTTATACTAACGGAAGCAGCGAATTAATCTTTTTATGGAGGATCAAAATATATGGAAGTGAAATAAATATAAAACCTGAAACTTAAAACTTAAATCTGGATATATCTAAAATTGTTTTAATGGTTAAGACTCTCATTTCAAAGATAATTGTTCATTTTGGAAATTGAAAAACAAATAGTTCCTGACACCTAGTGGCAGATGAAGACTATGACAGCTATGACTTTAATATAAGACTTGGCAAAATCTGGGAAAAGCTAATCTGTGTCTGTGACCTTCAAAGCTTTAACAACAAAGAATAGCTGTGACAAAAAAAGACAATAATCTGGGCTATAGACAAAGAGAGAATTATAAATTTCAGAAAAAAAACTTTTTTGAACTATTTGGATTACAAATATCTATCTAATTGGGATTCTAAAGCTATTTACAGAGAAAAGAAAGGAAGAGGAAAACTCAAATTCTTGGCTATCATATCAAGAAAACATAAATACATTACAGGAGATATATAGTATACTGCAACTAATTCAAACAACAATGATTTTAAACCACAAAGAAATCCAAAACAACTTCTAAAATATAAATCAATCTATTTCCAAATTAACTCTACAACAAAAAAATTCCCAGAAAACAACAACAGAGAAGGAGCAGATAAAACAGATAAACGGATATAGAATTGAGAATAGAGACTTAAAGATGGAACTTAACAAAACAAGAAACATGATTTAATCCTAGTGGAAAAAAATTGACAAGAATTGGAAAAAACAACTTATCTGGGGACAAGAAAACAGATCAGATGAAATGGACTGTAGAGATTTCAGGAACATTGGAGAGAAAGGAAATGATAAGAGAAGTGAAGAGAAAGAAAAAGAAAAAGATTTTCAACAAACATGGAAAGGCAGAAGTCCCATACAAAGAGACTTCTCCTGATTTACTTTTTATATCTACAGCAACATTTACGAAAATACGGAAAAACTTTTTGATTCAGCAAAATACATTGATTAAGAAAGACACTGGGCAAAAGAAAAAGACTAAAGTGGAAACTAAGAAAATAGATGATGAGACTTACCAGAGAGAATACTTAAAAAAGAAACATTTGTTTGAATATGGTTAAAGAAATAGAAAAGTTTTGGAATATATACGTCACTCTAAGAGGGATGTATTCTCTAAATATAATATAGTATGCTTTTTTCCCTTTTTTGTTCTCTTTCTTGATATGAGTATTATAAAAAAGTTGAAATGACTTAGATAAAGGAAATGATATTTAGATATTTAAATGTGATTGAATTTAAGAAAATTATAATGGATAAAATGTTTTGAATAAGAGTTAAAGGACTAGATGACTAGATGTATTAAATGGAATGTTTAAAGATTAAACATATTTTTAATTATGGTTAAAAAAAAATAAGAATTTTAGGAAATAAATACATATTAGCTTAGGAGGGATATATATTTTAAGTTGTATGTTTTTTTATGCTTCTTTACTCTTGCTTTTCTTTCTTTTTTTCTACTGTTTTTTCTATTTCTTAAGAAATGTAAAAGTGTGAGATGGTTCATATAGAAAAATAGAGTTAAATTCTTAAATGTAATTAATTTTTAATTTAAGCAGTAAGAATATTTAGAATTTGGTGGGAGAAATAAATTAAAATAAGGACTGTAACAGGATCTATGATTAGGCAACCAAAATGATTGGATAGAAAAGAAATATTATATTGATGTGATTATTATTTTTAGGACTATTGGGAAAAATTATACTTAATTGTTATCTATCAAAATAATAAGAATTGTATTAACTCAATGTTTGCAAAAGAGGATATTTTGGGAAAAGAGGAAATCAACTAAAACTATTATGTGGATTATGGATTATAGAAATCAATTGTTAGTGATTGTTTTACAAATGTAACCCAGACAACACACTGTTCACCAATTATTAAGTGATTTATGTTTTAAAAAAATCAATAAAATATATTACAAAAAAAAATAGAATAGAATAAAGCTGGAAGGGACCCTGGAAGTTTTCTAGTCCAGTCCCCCACTCAAGCAGGAGAACCTATACCATCTCAGACAAGTGACTGTCTAGTCTCTTCTTAAAAATCTCCAGTGATGTAGCGCCCATGATTTCTAGAGGCAAGCTGCTCCACAGGTTTAAAGGTACCAGGCTAGACGGCGAATTCTAGTCCTGCCATAGGCATGAAAGCAGCTGAGTGTCTGTGGGCTACTCTCTTCTCTCAGCCCAACTTTCCTCATAGGGTTGTTGTTGTGAGGAAAATAGGAGGAGGAAGGAGTATTAGGTTTGTTTGACACCTTCAGTTTATAAAAAAAATATAAAAAAACAAAGGTCTGTGTATTCCTTATATATAACTTTAATTAACTATAACTATAGTTACTTTAGTTATAGTTATTATAGTAATGGGGTGGGCTAGGGGCTAATCAAATCTGGTCAGTTTATATCATTTCATCTCTTCCAAGTGAAAATTGTACTTTATGAAAGAAATGAAAGAAGGTCTTGGGTATGTTTCTTGGTGTGCAAGGAACTTTGAAGGTTCTTAAGCTTCTTAGGCTGGAGTAGAAGCTACCTCTGTTTGACAGTAGTAATTTGCCCAGTTTGGACTTCAGATATGGTTATGTGGAACCAGCGAAAAACTTTTACATTTTCATCATGATGGATAATTCCATAATGGAAACACTTGCCCAACAGCCATCTCACTTCTATTTACAGCATGCATTAGCATTCAAATGGAAGCTTTCAAAGTAGTTTTAACAAAGTCATGTGAAAGTTGATTAATCACACTTTACTGGATGAGAGGGCTACAATAAATGAGCAATGGCCTTGTGAAGGATTTTTCTATTTGCCAGAATTCTAGGATCTCAGCCCCATCAGCATGATGCCTTCCAAATTAATTACTCCTTTGTTCTAAGTATAGCTTTCATTACATAATGAGCTACTTTTCTTAGATTTGGGTTGTAGTCCTTTAGTCTCTGATGTAACTCAATCCCTGGAATGTGTCCTTTAGGGCAATATGACCCTCACACCAAAGAAGGTTCTTATCCTGCTATATGTACCAACCTCTATTCACTTTTGGAATTTTCTTGGATGTATTCCAGCGTAGTCATGTATAGAATTGCATTGATGTCCTTCCAAACACTTGTCATTGCATTATATTACTTTCTGTACGGCATGAAAAATGGCTATGATATGCAAAACATTCCACATTAAACCATTTCAAATTTGCAGCACCCCATTTTTCAGCTTGAAGTCCTTTCTTCTGAGTGTGAAACAGCTATGTCAATTGCAAAATGGGTTGTTTTGTATATTCTTCTAGTGTGTTAAACTTGAAACAGCATTTTGCTTTTGAAACACAGCTGTTCCAAATTCAGAATATTTCCAAAACGCTTCTAATGGCCTGTCTCAAACTCACAACTATCACTTCACACTCAAAACAGGGTGTTTAGAATTTGAAGCAGTTTAGATTTGAAATGTTTTGCACACGCCGATAAATATCTTACTGATGCCAAAACCGGAATAAACTGACTTCTGATTTTTCTCTTTTGTTCACATTTCAATTTGTGGCTTTTTCTTATGTTTCTGTTCTTTCTTAATGATAGCAAGATATTGCCTTGCATTATGATTGGAAATTCAGTGCAGATTGTCTATTTTAGTTGATTGCAAATGGTAATGAAGCTGGAGTATCACAATTTTTAATTAAACTTAAACTAATTGTAATTCAAATGTTGTTCAGAATAGAAGACTTATAGCAGGGCTCCCAAAATTCTATGACACAGAGGAAAAGCTGAAGACTGAAGAATGCTAAAGTTCTCCAAGGATGTCGTTTCAGAAATACAAGTTTGGATACAATTCAACATCAGAAAAGATTAGGTCAGAACTGTCTAGTGTTGTAAGAGATGTGATGAACCAAGATGAAAAAATCCTCCAGTAGTCATTCTTTTAGTAGGTATTGTTCAAAAGAAATGCAAAATATTATGTCTGCAAATACAGTTACTTGAAAGTTTCCTGTCGGCATTACATTACTTGGTAAACTTACACTATTCTCTGTTCATGTTTGGCCATGAACTATAATGCCATGGATTAAAATATTGCAACAATGCAGGACTGGAAAACTAAAATAAAGGTGTGTTTTGATATTCAGCATAGCAGTAGTTGGGCACTAGGTGTGATTATTAAAAGAAACTTAATGTGCCTAATGCCATCTTCTGGCCACTGTGTCTCATTTCACTACTTATCCTGATCTTGGTGGCACTGAGGAATCTTGGTTTCTGTACATATATTTTAATGCAA